TTTGTTGTATTTTGAGCATTATTAGTAGAGTGGCATTTGATAAACGTGTTGTAAAGGACCATTAGTTTCTGGTGCCTTTTTTTCAATTATTTTACCTATAACAGAATAGGCTAGTGTAATTTATGTTCATACAATTATTGATTCTTAAATAAACAATCATTTTTTACAATAAATTAAATATAGTCATTTACTTTACAACTGATGTAATAACACCTTACTGAAAATAGTTACAAAAAAAACATTCGCTATTTACCTAAAGAGTCTAAGTCTGTATCAATTTTATGTGCCGGTACAACAGAATCACCACCATCTTCAAATTCCTCTTCTTCATTGAACCACATTTCTTCTTCCTCTTCCAGTTGCCGCTGATCTCTATGATATCGTGAATTACGTAAAATAGAGGGTACTCTAAAATTTGTGAAGAAATCAAAATTAACAACTATTATTATATTTATATCTATTAATAAGATTGTGTGCAAAACATTGTGTATAAAAACATACCCATCTAAAATTCCTCCACGATCTCTGTCCTTCAGTTGATCATACCTAGTTTTTAGTGCTTTGAATGTTTGTACATATTCTACTTCATCTAGAATTTTACCAAAGTTTTCCACAACATGTGAGCACAAACTTTTAATATCCTCTAATTTTATAAATTCAAATAATTCTAGAACAGCAGAGTCTAGTAGATTATAGCTAAAATTCAGATAACAAAATTTATCAATTACAAAATATTCATTACAAGTTAAAAATAATTTGAGAAAAAACATCGAACTAGCATAAGTGATAATAATGTATATAAAAATATTACCGTCCGTTATTCCTAAGGAATGCATCGATAACTGGAGCAAACAAATTGCCTTTGATTATATAGCGATTGTAAAATTCATCTTTTAGGGCAATTATTTTTCTCATAAACCGCAAAGCACAAAGAACCAAAAATGTATGGGTTGATTTCATGAGAACCAAAATACGCCGCAAAAGATCTTTATTGAGTATCCAATTTTTAATATGATATGTGTGATGCTCCACACAGAAAGATAATAATTCGAGAACCAGACCTAATAACTGTACAGTATGATAATCTTCTTGTAGTGGTTTCTCTCCTGTTGTATTTTCCAACAACGGCGCTATGATATAAAAAATTTCTTTAATATTATGCTCAAAATATATAGCTCTTTCAAATATAATAAATAACAAGTACCTATGAGTGTATGCACACTATGTTTATAGAAAAAATTAAGAAAGTCAGTTTTTTCTGTTTTCGTGTTCGAAGCAAGCATGTTCTCTGGATCGAGTAGCATTCTCAGAACTCCCATTAATTGAACAGCTCCTCCCAGTTCAGGATCTTGATCAACAAGCATTTGCTGGATCATTATATTTAGAAGAAGTTGGTCCTGATAGTAAATATAAATGTATATAAAAATTTTACAGGTTGGAATATTTTATATCTCGTAAAGAAAAGGTAGAACAATCACAAAAATGTATCCGAAATTTGAGTATACTATATGATTTTTTACATAATGAAATTTATTTTCTGACATTAATTTAGATTTAGATTTTACCTCTTCCACATTATTTGCTTGCTGCAAAGTATATTCTCGAACAACTGATGGTGAAAATTCAACAATGTAGGTCAAAATATCTATCGATGCTGTTTTAGTTTTTTGATCCTCAATACCAAGTGTTATTTCTAAAGCAGGAAGAATTCCTAAGCTTGTCAGTGTTTTATAGAATGCCTCTTTACCAGGTTGTTGCAAATTTTGTGAAAAATTGCAAAACTCTTTAAGAAACAATACAAGGTCTCTTCTTTTCAGATCTGAAGTTTTTTCATTGGTCAATAAAGAAAACAGGTCAGTAAGAAATCTTTCATCCTCCTGAATTAATGTTACAATTTCTACTTTATTAAAAAATATAAAACTAGATAGTGTACTAAGCATGTTATCTTCAAACACAGAAGGAGTTGGTAAAACAATATCTTGAATATATTGCACTCTATAAGTTTGGTGAATTTTGGCTAAAAGATCAGGGCTTTTTATGGGTATTGCCTCTCTAAATTTGGCCAACATTTTCAAGTAATCTCGATGCTTTTTGGGTGTACTTAAGCTAGGATCATACTCCAGACAGCCAACAACATCAAAAATTGTTTCCTCCGCAAACATGACTTCAAACAGTGCATTTTTGTTCAAGAGAAATATGTTTTTAAATATTTCATAAAGATGATGCAAACCCTCTATGCTTTCCAAATCTTCACACATGTGAAAAAGATTTAACAATTTTCGGATATAATTGTCAGACTCTATTGCAGCAGCTAGTTTATCTTTGCGCAATTGAGATGTTAAACATTGCGCGATCATTTCACTTATTTCGCCCAATCTTGACAATTCGCAAGGCGGCAGCTCAATAGGGGGAGCATTATCAGACATATCATCAAAACGCTCATCTTCAGACTCTTCTACAATGTCCTGTGTTATTTCCACAGATGGATCTTTTCCTTGAACCTGTCAAATGATATTAGAAATTATACATACTTGAAGAAATATATTTCACATGTACCAGATGAGGACTCACTTGACAAATTTTTTCCCAAATTTCATCACAACCAGCCTTTTCTTGAAAGCTAAGTGCTAAATCAAAATTATCACCCTCTGACCAAACGATAAGAGTATCTTGTTGTTTTTGGTAAGTAGTATCATGTTGAATTTTTGATTCTAATAATAATGTACCATCTAACTCAGCACGGACCATTAATGAAATTCCTTTCAATCTTTCAATATATACACAAGACACATGACCAGTGCCTCTATCATCCCACTGCCTTTGTGCATTCAGGGCATATAACTTTACTCTTCGCCTAGTATCTGACATATTGAGCAATGTTTTTTTGAAGATTTATTTATCCGTTTCTAAAGTATATCTGAGCAGTATTCATCTATAAAATGTATTCCCAATATCAGCAAATATATGCGAAAAAATGGAAGAATTAAAATATGCAAATATAACTATACCGCATCATAATTTATTAATTAAAAGTTACTTAATTCTGTATATATCTTGGTCATTTATATTTTATGCAAAATTTTCATTAAACATACTCACTCTTGTCAGGTTATTTAGATATTTCTACAATAGAACCATTAATAGCAAATCACTTAATCCACAGCAATTAAAGTTTAGCAAATAATCAACACATTTCTCAAATTCATCTAATTATATAAATCTTTTATCAATAAAAATATTCAAAATACCACAGCTCACAATTTTAAATTACATATTAGAAATTATATAAAATTTATTCAACAAGCGTTACATTGACGTTCTTTAGAAAGAGTTCATAACATTAATATCGCCATATTGAATTCACAACAACGCTTCTGATTAAAGGGTTCGCGTGGCAAAAACTGTGGACAAAATGGCAGCATGGCGCGATTTTCAAACTTCACTTTTACAGACACCCCATAGACAAATAAGTATAAAGACACCGAACTGAGATGAATATTACGTTTGATGGATGCCTAAGAACACTTCATCATGTAAGTAATATATTTTATATAATTTTTAATAACTTCTAATTTTGTCACTGAATAGGATTATAGCCGAAACGTATGGATGTAAAATACATTTTTGAAAGAAATTAATGTTTTTTATTGATGATATGCCCGATTACTAGACTTTGTTAATACGTGTTACAAAGTCTTGTGAAGTCAAAAACATTTACAAATATTCTCGAAAAAACTAGTGTTTTTAACAAAAAATATTAGTGATATAGAAATATAAGCTATTACAGAATAAACTTGTTGATGGAACGTATCTAGTTCCGAAACGTCGTTATTAAACATCTTCAAAAAACAAATTGTTTTTTATTATTGGATTTACTGTTCGGAAAATAAACAATCATATATATATATAGATAGATATGAGTATATGTATGTTTATTCAAGTACATGTACGTCCTTGTGAATATGCATGCACGTGCATATATGTATATCTGTGTAAATGTATACATATATATGTATGCATGTGTATATGTATATATACGTATGTGTACTTATATATACTTTTTCTTTTTTATCTATTTAATATATAGTTTCAATTACCTTTTCTATCTTTTATATTTTGTTTGTTAAGTGTTGCTGTTTTGTTAATTTTTCTCTTATATTTATAGTTTATATACCATTCCACATATATTATAATTACCTAGTTATACTAATTTTTTATACTGTTTTTAGATCCACTGATGATGGCATTAAATTGAATGTCGAAACGTTTGGAATTAAAGATTAATTTATAAATCTTTGCTTTTTATTCTTTGATGTAGTGCCCCCACAAGAACTTACTCATTATATATATATATATATATATATATATATGTTAAGATATTTAAAAAGAATTCGAAAACAAAAATTACATGATGACCAAAATTTTGTTTTCATTCAAAAAAATATTGCGATTTAGGAAACACGTATTGATTCTGTGAATGAATTTAATAAAATAAAACGTAATTACAAAAATATTTATTACAACATTTGGTTTGTTATTCCATAAAATTGTTGTTACTTATTTTAAACATACTTATTTTAAAAACCAAAGAAAAAAAAATTTGAACAAATATATCATTGTTAATGCATTTCTACATTTATAACATGATTTTTCATTTTACTCTATATTATGATTTATATAATGTCATCATTAATATTAACAATGAGCTAATGACTTCATGTCTTATTTTTTTCAAAATTGTTTACTAAATCTTGTAATTATGACAACTAAGAAGTTCAACTCCTGGAATCGTCCATTCATCCATCTTCTTGCACCCAGTAATGACGTCCAGTCCTGTCCTCTTCTTGCACCTCGTAGTAGTATCTAGCCCCGTTTTACACGTCGTCGCCGGATCCAGCCCCGTCCTTGCACGTCTTAGATGCATACAGTCCCATTTTTACATGTCGTAGTTGCATCCCAGCTGCGGTCCAGGCATCTTCTTGCACGTCGTAATAGCGCATTCAGCCCAGGCATCTTCTTGCACGTCGTAGTAGTGCGTTCAGCCCAGTCCAATTCTCTCGCACGTTGTAGTAGCGCGTCCAGTGCATTCCGGTCTTTTTGCACGCCCAATCTGGACTAGTCTTCTTGCAATTTCAGTTATCTAGCGCTATTTCTGGCGACTGGCTCAGCCCAGTTTTACTCGTCATAGTAGCGCGTCTAGCCCAGTCCGGTCTTCTTGCTCGCGCAGTCCAGTCCGGTCTTCCTGCACGCCCGGCCAGTTCAGTTCAGTCTTCTTGCACGCCCAGTCCAGTTCAGTTAAATTTTCTTGCACGCCCAGTCCAGCCCGATCATCTTGCACGCTAAATCCAGTTCAGTTCAATCTTCTGGCACGCCCAGTCCAGTTCAGTTCAGTCATCTTGCACGCCCAGTCCAGTTCAGTTCAGTCTTCTTGCACGCCCAGTCCAGTTCAGTTCTTGCACGCCCAGTCCAGTTCAGTTAAATCTTCTTGCACGCCCAGTCCAGCCCGGTCTTCTTGCACGCCCAGTCCAGTCCAGTTCAGTTCAGTCTTCTTGCACGCCCAGTCCATCCCGGTCTTCTTGCACGCTCAGTCCAGCCCGGTCATCTTGCACGCCCAGTCCAGCCCGGTCATCTTGCACGCCCAGTCCAGCCCGGTCATCTTGCACGCCCAGTCCAGCCTTGTCATCTTGCACGCCCAGTTCAGTCCAGTCCAGTCTTCTTGATCGCCCAGTCCAGTCCAGTCCAGTCTTCTTGATCGCCCAGTCCAGTCCAGTCCAGTCCAGTTCGGTTAAATCTTCTTGCACGCCCGGTCCAGTTCGGTTAAATCTTCTTGCACGCCCGGTCCAGTTCGGTTAAATCTTCTTGCACGCCCAGTCCACTTCAGTTAAATCTTCTTGCACGCCCAGTCCAGCCCGATCATATTGCACGCCCGGTCCAGTCCGATCATCTTGCACGCCCAGTCCATTCCAGTCCAGTCCGGTCTCCTTGCACGCGAAGTCCAGTCCGGTCTTCTTGCACGCCCACAGTCCAGTCCGGTCTTCTTGCACACCCACAGTCCAGTCCGGTCTTCTTGCACGCCCACAGTCCAGTCCGGTCTTCTTGCACGCCCACAGTCCAGTCCGGTCTTCTTGCACGCCCACAGTCCAGTCCGGTCTTCTTGCACGCCCACAGTCCAGTCCGGTCTTCTTGCACGCCCACAGTCCAGTCCGGTCTTCTTGCACGCCAACTCCAGTCCGGTCTTCTAGCACGCCCTGTCCAGTCCAGTCTTCTTGATCGCCCAGTCCAGTCCAGTCTTCTTGATCGCTCAGTCTAGTCCAGTCTTCTTGATCGCCCAGTCAGTCCAGTTCGGTTAAATCTTCTTGCACGCCCGGTCCAGTTCGGTTAAATCTTCTTGCACGCCCGGGTCCAGTTTGGTTAAATCTTCTTGCACGCCCAGTCCAGTTCGGTTAAATCTTCTTGCACGCCCAGTCCAGTCCAGTCCGGTCTTCTTGGTCGCCCAGTCCAGTCCGGTTAAATCTTGCACGCCCGGGTCCAGTTCGGTTAAATCTTCTTGCACGCCCAGTCCAGTTCGGTTAAATCTTCTTGCACGCCCAGTCCAGTCCAGTCCGGTCTTCTTACTCGTCCAGTCCGGTCCGGTCCGGTCTTCTTACTCGCCCAGTCCAGTCCGGTCTTCTTGCTTGCCCAGTCCAGTGCAGTCTTCTTGCACGCCCAGTCCAGTGCGGTCTTCTTGCACGCCCAGTCCAGAGTCCGGTCTTCTTGCACGCCCAGTCCAGTCCGGTCTTCTTGCACGCCCAGTCCAGTCCGGTCTTCTTGCACGCCCAGTCCAGTCCGGTCTTCTTGCACGCACAGTCCAGTCCGGCCTTCTTGCACGCACAGTCCAGTCCTGTCTCCTTGTACTTCCATTTCAATCCTTTTCTCGCACGTTGCGTAGCGCAACCAATCTATTCTTGCACGCCGTAGAAGAGCGCCATGTCCATTCGTCTTCTTGCAGGCTCAGTCCAGTCCAGTCCATCCTTCTTGCATGCCCAGTCCAGCCATCTTGCACCTCCATTATCGTAGCGCATCCAGTCCAATCCGGTCTTCTTGCACGCCCAGTCCAGTACGGTCTTCTCGCACGTCCGGTTCAGTCCAGCCCTCTTCTCGTACGTCCTCTGTCCAGTCTTCTACTCGCACGTCCTGTCTAGTCAGGTATTCTAGTACGCCTAGTTCAGTACTGTTTTCTTGCACGCCCAGTTCAGTACTGTTTTCTTGCACGCTCAGTCCAGTACGGTCTTCTTGCACGTCCAGTTCAGTCCAGCCCTCTTCTTGCACGTCCAAGTAAACTCCTCTTTTCACACGTCGCGTAGCGCGTCCAGTCTAGTCCGGTCTCTAGCACGCACAGTTCAGTACGGTCCTCTTGCACGCCCAGTCCAGTACTGGTCTTCTTGCGCACTCAGTTCAGTATGGTTTTCTCGCACGTCCAGTTTAGTCCAGCCCTCTTCTTGCACATCCAGTCCAGTCCAGCCTTTTCTTGCACATCCCGTCTAGTTCAGCCCTCTTCTTCCACATCCAGTCCAGTCCAGTCCAGCCCAGCCCTCATCTTGCACGCCCAGTCCAGTCCAGCCCTCTTCTTGCACGTCCAGTCCAGTCCAGCCCTCTTCTTGCACGTCCAGTCCAGTCCAGTCCTCTTCTTGCACGCCCAGTCCAGTCCAGCCCTCTTCTTGCACATCCAGTCCTGTTTCCTTCTCAAATATGGCGTAGCGCGTCCAGTCTAGTCCAATCTTCTAGCACGCAGAGTTCAGTGCGATTTCCTTGCACGCCTAGTCCAGTATGGTCTTCTCGCATGTTTAGTCTTCTTCTCACAAGTCCAGTTCAGTCCAGCTCTCTTGTTGCACTTCCAGTCCAGTCCTCTTCTCGAACGTCCAGTCCAGTCTATTCTTGCGCGTTGGTGTAGTGTCCAGAACTGTAGTATAGTGTAGTGTTCCTCTTTTTTCAGCACAGCTATCTTCTTGCACGTCGTGATAGCGCGTCCAGTCCAGCCTTATTCATGAACATTTGGTCCAGCAAACTAAAATTCATTTTTATATAAATAAAAAGTAAACAGAAAGAAACTTTTATATAGTAATATATTAATTTATTACCTTAAATTGGTAGCCATATATGAAATTTGACAAAGTCTTGCTCTTCTGAAAGATTCCTCCATGATATTCTGCATGAATCAGCACAGCACAAGTTGAAGATTGTCATAGTTCAAACGTTCATTACACTTCACTCACTGTATTTCATATTCATAACAATATGCAAAATAATTACCAAAATACAATGCTTTTGTTGTAAAATGGTTTACAAAATAAATTATTTACCTGATTCACAATATAAGATATATAAATACTAATACTAAAGTTTAGTTTCAGTACAAGACTATTCTAAATTAATATTTAAATTGTCTGATCAGCATGATTGAATAATAATTAAAAACAATTTGATTACAAACATTAGCTACAAACAGGTCAATATAGATCACAAGTATTGCTCTTTAAAGAACAGGGGTCTATGAAAAACGATAAAACCATTACTAATAATAGCAGTAGTTCTATCACAACATTTTAAGAAAATATTGTAACATAAAACTATTTATAATAAACTCATCCAAAATTACTTTCTTTAAAACGTAACAGAAAAAAATATAAAAATAGTGGACAAAATCTATCTTACAATTTTTTTTCTATACAAGGCCTTGATTATGATCTCTTTTTCTTCATAAACGTTTTTTTTCAAATCCAATTGTAAACATGTGATTAAAACATAGTCATCTGAAATGAACTTAAAAAAAAACTGTTAAAGACCCCCCCCTCCAAAATTTCTGTACACATACACCAAAATATCTAAAACTAAATATTTGGCTCTTACAATTGATAATTTGTATTAGAAGCATCCAATGAAGCATCTTGTAAACAACTATGCATCTGTGAAATCTATGTTGATTTTGAACATCAGATTGGGGATGTCATTGAAACAAAAGTTAAAGACAGATTCATGAATTACTGAAAATCTGAAAAACAAACTGAAGGAATTTGTTGCACATTTATCTGACCTCCCAACATCTTTAAATATGATCTAGTATTAAGCATAAGAATTCAAAATATACAACCTTTCCGTTACCAATCTAATGTAGACAAAAAGCAATTACTGGCAATATTTAAACTTAATTTTGCATATGGATAAGTCCTATTGTTTAGCCAACAAACAAAAATGCTGACAATCTAGTATGTCTGAAAAACATCAAAAGCTGTTCTTTTGGAAACACATCAAACAAAGTATTAAACAAACCTTTTCTATAAAGCTCTAAAAATAAAAAAAAAGTTAGAAAACTTACACCTTGTCAGGTATCAATGATTGTTTGTGTGAATTAATTCGCCAAGGCTGAATTCAACGTATTAAAAAGAGTTCTGCATACTGCATCGTAAGGTTGTATACTCGTACTTAAGACTTCTTCTCTACACATCCAATTCATACAAAACTTCTAAAGTAGATCCAAAAGAATCGAACAATATCTTCAAATTGAAGAATTTTATCAAATATATACTGTAAAAGAAATGTGTAAAGGGTTCATTTGCAATGCACTACTATGAAAGTAGGCATACATAGAGTGATGAAAGCTAGCTGATACGGATTATTCAACTCTCACGATTTCAGAAATCAACCATGGCATGCGTTTCGGTTTCCAATTAGTGACATCACATGAATGCAAATCACATATAGAAGACGGACGTATAGACATAATTTGTTGCAAAATTTAAACCATCTGGAAAGGTTTTAATCATGAAAATATGCAATTATTATTAAAGTATTATAAATGTAGATATCCTGTTTCCAGTTGTGAACAGTTCCGACTTTAAATGTTGTTGACAAATGATTTAGTTAAACGTAAGCAAGTTCCTCAAACTCAGGGTCATTATGCTCTTATAATTAATTCCATAAAATCTTCAACTTAAAAATGAGTTCATAGCTTCCATATAGACGCATGCAGGAAGGCCGTTGGAGCAAATACTGGTATTCAACATTTCATGCATAACTATCTCTGAAAAATTCAACTCAAGGTTTCGTGCACAAATGTGCAATATTGTCATATATGAATAAAGTAGAGACAGACTTAGCATTCATACCATTAACTGAGTATTAGAATTTGAAATCAAAAATACTAGAAATTTCTTCGACCTCCATGAATTCTATAAGCAATCGAAGTATTGACTCTGCATTGTTTCTGTAAATTTAATTACTATGTTGTCCCTTATGTGGTAAAGTCTTTGATGTCTTATGAATAATGTACAGTTGTAATCTGAAATAGACTAAATATTTCGCTCGGCACAAATGTCATGTGAAATTATTGCTTTTAAAATATATGAGATATGCACTTGGGTTCCAGTTTACATTAATATTGTTGTATTTTCAAGCTCCAAAGATCATCAATCTGATATCACGTGCAAGGAACAAGACTACACTCATACGGCCTACAATGTCTAAAATTGGAATTTCAAATTCTGCAATTGCGAAACATGATTGCAGTATAATATATTCACATATATAATTATTAATATATAAATTTATCATACCGGGACCTAGCAATGACTGAATTTTTATGACTAAGGCATTTAGCAGATTACTTATCTGGAAGACATTGGAAAATCATCATTCAGCAATATGTGTTTTAAATATAGCAGTAACAGATAACTATACTGAAATTTTGTTTAACTTTTACTTCTTTAATTATAGTTTTCTCTCTCTCTCCTGGTATGACTTTAGAGTCAGATCGCTTGAAGTCAATCTGCAATATACTAAAAACACATTGCACGAATACCCAACAAGGGTAAAATACAAAACGTCTTCCTAAATATTCAAATTATGATTAGCTGATCTTACATTGACCGTCTATTGAATTGAAATTATTATTCCATACAGCATAACAACATATATTAGTCAGCAAACTCATGACTTACAGATGTTCAAAATAAATTGGATTTGGAGAAACATAAAAAGCTCTAATTTTGCTTCAGTTGGAGATTTGTAAGTTAGTAGCATCCGCAAACAAATTCTGAAATATACTAAAAACAAATTGTCCCGAACACAAATCTATATAATTCGGATATTCGATGAAAGAATTAGAATTTCTTACATTAATACCAAGTTCGAAGGCTTATTTTCAAAATCGTAAAATAATTCATTCTCATTATTTTCAATGCAATTGCAAAACTCACCTTACAATTTTTGAGCACAAAAAAGAAAAGATGTGTAAACACACTGGAAACATTTTTCTTGCTTCCAACCTTCCAATTATTAAATATCTAATGAGATTTTTAAAATTTAGTGAACCATTTTGAACATTTTTAAAACAGGTTCCACGTAAACAGTAAATTATGTAACCTTGCTGCCTTGATAAATGTATTATTGCAGTTAAAAGAATTCGACCTGTAAATGTACTAGGATGATGAAAGTTTAACCCCACCCCTTAATAATATCCCTCTAGATAACTACTAAAACAAGAACTTGTATAAGGTTAAATTTTAAATAATTTAACCCTTTTATGTGAACCTGAACTTTTAAATTTAATTAGTAAACATACACAAACTGTAGTTCATGCAAATTTACATTGGAGGTATTCTTACAAAGATACCTTACCTTGTTATATAACTCCAATAGTGAATTGTGCTGAGAAAACATGAATAAGAAATCTTGCAAAGATTGATTCTTCATATAAGATACATAGTTTTCAATGGATTTCTAAATGAGTTTCATATTGTCAGTATCCTAATAGACCCTTTTTATACACTCAATTTTAATGGGATAAGATAGTTAATGAATACATTTAAAATACCTCAATACTATTTGCATCATATCGGTCAGCTCTAAGGACAATTTTGTAAGCATTGTACAGCGAATTAGAAATGACACGAATACATTGAAATGGGAAAGATCGTCACATCAATTCAGCAAATCTACTAGTATCTGCAATAGTCTAAGTATGTTGCACAACAAAAATAGAGCATAAATTTCTTACTCTAGAAGTATTATTGCTTGCAATTCCCACATTTGTTCATAAGGCCGCAAAAGTATCCATTCAAACATCACTATTTAATGCAATTGTTCTCAAAGATTTGGAAACACCAGCATTGTATGCAATACGGCACATCATTGGAACATTATAGATAGCGCAGCTCTTTGAGGTACACGTTTAAAAATTTTATATAAAAATACCTGAAATGTACTAAACACACTTTGCCGGTACCATATCATATTGCCTAAATAGGCAATATATTTTTTTTAAATTTTGGTCACAATACCTCATCTACTGCATTTTACTACTTAATATAAGCTGAGGAGCACCCAGGAAACTGTTTGCAGAAGTACATAAAATATTCTCATATTCCATGGTACATGATGATAGGATGAAGTGACTACGATTGCTATTTCCCATTACAGCTATATAATAAAAATTATCGCAAAATCTATCCTGCAAAGTATTGAATTGAAAATTAAAAGAATACCCACCCCCTTACAAAATCTTTTCCCAAGAATTATGTAATTGATAAATAAAGATAGCGCCATTTGTACTTACAGAATCAAAGCAAACATAACTGATATATTGCTTATTACGTAATATTGCATATCGGTCTTGAACATTATTACCTGAATATTGAAAAACTTGACTAAGTAAGTAATTAATTATCAATCAAATGATGTAGTAAGTAACTTGTGGTACTATTGTTGAATCGTGCTTGAAAAGCTTGAGATCGAACTTGTGTAATTAGATCTACAGACTTCTTTCTAGTCTATTTACCTCCTGCATGTCAGAAATTTATATATTTAAAAGTTTCAATAAGGCTTATAGGTGGTAACTGAAATGCTAAAATAGAATACCATTTCAATTACTACATACTTTACCGAACCATATTCCTGCTGTCTGCTGATAAGTCGAAAACCAAAACTAGTCGCAAAGTGAAGTCAATTGCTTCTCATTGGAGGTTGGTGTCCAAAAGTTTATTTGCAGTAAACTCTGGGGATACACGATTAATCCTACTACCTTATGTCTAACATGCCTATGGTAAATAAACAGTTTCCTTCTTTCATATGTAAAAACGCTTGCAATGGTACCGTAATTATGTGATTCCGCTCGATTGTTTAAAATGCAGTGGCAGGTTTATATTAGTGATGGTTACTGGATCAAGTCGAAACACGCACGGTCTTAGGTATTCCTTTTATTCATTGCAGACAAGTGGTGACCACCAAGCATTGGCAGAATCGTACATGTAAAATAAAACATACGAGGGCAGATTACAGAAGTTTAAAAAAATATGAATTGAAAAACAAAATACAATTTCCATCATCATTTATTATTCTTTGTTTGATATGTACATATAAAAAATTAAATATCACTTTATTTACACATATGTTAAGATATAAAAATCGATACACTACAACAACCAATCATTTGCTGTTCGACTGCCAGTCCTGTTCGAGAACAAGCCCAGTGGTCGCTCAAGATGCCTCAAACTCTCAACAGTGGTACTGTAAATGAAATTCCTTATTCAACAAATATCACAGAAAAAAATCTAAATCTAATAATTGCCTGCCAGGGTTGGCATTTTTGTACATAAATAAAATTAACTTATAAA